CGGGTATGCAGGACCTATGTAGGTATAGATTAATCGTCAGGCCTTTACAATATCTTTTTAAATCCTCGTAGCAACTCTACAAGGTGTCACCACCACCTTCATTAAGACGAGGGCCCTATACATTTCAGCAACGCTGTAAATTTTGCCGAGGTCCTAGGGCAAAAACTCAGCAGTGCCTGACCTAGGACCCAGATCCACCTCACCCTGCAGCCTCTCCCTGCAGCTGGGAGCAGCAAACCTGGGCTGGAGCGCTGCTGCCGCTTCCATCCAGCCCCCAATTACACCTGCATCTCTCAGCAGGCCTGAGGAGGAAAAGCAAGCCCGGAGAGGAAGGCTGGAGGGGCAGGGGAGGAGAGTGTGGAGGAAGACTACCGGGCGTCAAGGCCTAACAACAACTGTGTATGAGGAAAACAATTTTGTTCAAGAGGGCTATTTATAGGGATGTTTTTCCTCAGCAGTCCCTGCCCCCTCGCTTTTCTTTTGTGTTACAAGGCGCCTGGCAGATTGGTAAAGGGTTACAGGCAGTGTACAGGAAACTGGGGAACACAATGAACGGGGCGGGGACAGATCCCCACCCACCTAAGAAAATCGCTTGCTCCAGTGTGGAGGGACCCTGGAGGGAGACAGATGGGGCTCGGAGCCCGGGCTCTGGTCCTTCTATAGTTTTCTTTTTCCAAGTCAGGAAAAAAAAGGCAACGTGCCCAAAGGGTGCAAAATCCAGAGGAAGTAGAGGCTGAAGGAGGCAACAGAACCAAACCAGGATTATAGAAATAAGTCAAAGAGGCAAGACGTGTTTTATCCCGAGAACTCCCGCTATTCAATGGAGAATGGTTTTCCTACTCAAAGACAAGACATAGCAAAAGAAATGATCTCAAGCTGTAGCTACTGGGGGGCGGGGATCAGAAAACACCTCCAGACACTCAGGACAGACCTGCCAAGCTTCTGGGACCACTCTTAAATCAGAACAGCCCAGGCATTTTTCTCTCTGGGCCGCCGATCAAAGACCTCAAGCCAAATGGATGCAAACTCAGACTCAGAGCCTAAGGCCGGGCCCTGTGTGAGTTCAGATGTGGGCTGTGTAGGTTCTGATGTGGGCATAATAGCCATTCAGCGGGGACACTTGGCTCTCTCCCTCCAGCCTTGAAGTCTCTTCTCGGTACTTGACCAGGAAGGAAGTGTCCCGCTGCTCTTTGGCAGCCTCGGGGCCCATGTGGAGTGGGACAAGTGAGTTTTGTGCTCACTCATGGCGTCTGAAATGCTAACTGCAAACTGTGCATGTGGGTCAAATGTCACAGTGTTTTTTTTGTTTTTGTTTTTGTTTTTTAACATTCAGGGAACACAAAAAATCTCCAGACCTCTTATATTTAAAAAAAAAAAAAAAAAAAAAAACAGTGACAGTATTCACTGTAAAGATATTAGAGAATGACGAAATACGAAATACTGGTGAGGAAATTTTTTTTTAATATATTTTACAACACCATTCAGTTCAACATAATAGCCACAGATTCCCCTGTTCTCCCCCTCTCGCCCCCCTCCCCCTCCCCCCAGCCCACCCCCCATTCCCACCTCCTTCAGATCAAGGTCTCCCCAGAGGACCGGGGTCAACCTGGTAGACTCAGTCCAGGCAGGTCCAGTCCCCCCCTCCCAGACCGAGCCAAGCGTCCCTGCATAAGTCCCAGGTTTCAAACAGCCAACTCATGCAATGAGCTCAGGACCCGGCCTGGTGAGGAAATTTTACTTTTGGAACTTGTTTCAAATATTATATGTAGATAACTCATCTTCCATCTTATCAGGTTCTACTCTGCCTGACCTTTCATACTGTCAAAGACTATTCCTGAAAGTTCTGGTGTGGCCCTTGATGTTCAGAGAAGTTGAGAGAATTTTACCCTAACCCGTGCCAAGTTCTTAGGAACTTGGTTTGGCCATTGACTCTACTACCTTCCTACATCTCGACTTTTTAAGTCTAGGGAGGAGGAGAGGAGGCCATTTGTAACCTAGTCTTTGTCTAATATTTCCTTTCTCTTCCACCCTGTCTGTCCCCAAATTCCTACTTACTTAACTTCTTCAGTTGGGAGAGCAAGGTAATGTACATAGAGCTCTCACCTTGAGTAATGTAGCTTCCCAAGTGTGGAATCCAAAAGAAATAGGTAGGCAGGCAGGAAGGCACACAGACAGACTATTCCAGATCATATTTGAGATGAGGGAGACCTTTTGAAATCTCTCCTCGCTCATTCTCAACACTGTCCCTGCTCACTCTTGGAAGTCCTGTTAGAAACAACACTGGTTTATCAGAGCCCTGGGCAACAGACTGGTCAGGATGGAGAACCGATTCTCGTTGTTCATTGCTCTTCTCTCATGAAGTAGAGTTCTTCACTTGTGCTTTGTCAGGGATTGGCAGCGTGGCTTCGGCAGTTTGCATGCCCTCTAAGAAAGCCTGGTCCACCTCCTCTGGATCTTCAGAGGCAGCCATTGGCAATGTAACATACACTTAGGCACCGTGCACAAGAAGTACGACGGTGGAGCCCAGGGTGCCAGCTTTCTGAAGTCCATTGACCCTGGTCATCCTCTGTCCTTTGTTGGCCTCAGAACCCTGGAGTACAGAGGGCAAGGTAAGACACAAGGCATTGTCACGGAAGAGTTTCCCCAACACTTGGTCTCACCCCCAGATATTATCCGAGCACCTTTAAAACAGGGACAGCTGGAAGCAGGAAGAGAAGGAAGTAGGGAAGAAATGTAGCTGGCTGGACAACCGACTGACACTCCAGGAAGGAGTCTTAGGAGAGCATTTAATTGGCTACCTGGAGAGGGAGATGGATGATGAAGTTGCTGATACTAAGTCTAGTTGTATGGGCGAACTGGGTAAAGAAAAGGTTGTAACCACAGGTGATGCTAAAACCTATTAATACTGCTTGTCTGGTTTCTACTTTTAATGGTGAGGAAGATTTAGGTAGCCATCTGTCCTCAGTAGGTACCCAGTAGGTGTCAGTAAGCAAAAACGCTTTTCCAGTATATTCATAACTTATCACCAGATAGCTTACTTACTGCTTCAATGAACATTCCTACCCTATCACTGTACACCCTTGCATCCTAGGAAATCCACAGTACAATGGAAGAACCCTTTGGAACCCAAATCTGATTACACACACACACACACACACACACACACACACACACACACACACACACACACACCATGGTCCTATAAAAGAATCTGCTTCAAGTAAGCAAGAAGAGAGAGAAACAATAAGACTCTGAAAGTTCTTGCTAAAGTAAACTGCTAAGCAAATGTGAACAGCTCCACAAAGAGATGCTTCTCAAGAAATAAGAGGAGAAATATGCCAATATATTAAACAATCCAAACAGCTTACAGGATGCTTAGGAATTGCTGCTCTGGCTATTGGAAACAGAGAGTCATTGATAGATTTTTGAGCAAGCAAGCTTATAAACAACAGCAGCACTTCAGAAGAACCCATCAGGCTTCTAGTCTGTAGGATGGGTGAGGTGGGAGGAGCTTGGACTCAGCAAAGGCGGGGTGGGGGGGGTGGGGGGTGGAGGGAGTGGGGGGGTAATCCTAACCATGGAGGAGGATGTGACTGCTCCCCAGGAGGCCTGACCATGAAGAACCCGAAATGAGAGGCATTGTGAAAGACTCATCCTTTTGGGGCTGGACTAGCTTGGAAGGTGGAGGAGAGCGAGCAATGAGTCAGTGCTTACTTGAAGATGTCTCATCAGAGTGACTGAGCCAGTGGTGGTGTCGTTGAGAGAGATGGGAAAACAGAACGGAGGGGACCTTGGGCACTGGGCACAGACGCCAGTGGCTGCAGAGGCCAGGCAGGTAAAAAGGCTCAAAGACAGGCCGAGGGGACTTCCAAACTAGGAGGTTCATCTCTAAAGGGGGCTGCCGAGTCTTAGCACCCACAGTCTTCGCTGTGTGAGAACACACTTGTCCTGCCTATAACCAGAGCTCCTATTTCATAGGAGACAGCAGAAATCCAGATTTCTTATATTTCTTATATTCAGTCTTTAATATTGGCTACTAATTTTTTAAAAACAGGATGTGTTCCAAACACACACACACACACACACATCTGTAGGCCAGATTTGGTAGGCTGGCTATCAGGTTATGTCCAGACAGAGAGACAAGGTCAGAGGTCAAAGTTCATAAACTGACACGATGGTACATAAGTAACTTTTGGGGGAAAATCAGTAACTGAAATACTGCACATAATGTCTTTGCCAGCTTTATGGCTGTCCCTACCCTCCAAGCCTATATATGGATCTGAATGTATGCAGGAAGTTTAATCTAATCTTCAAACTGTTAGGGCACAAGACTTTGAGTGCTCACTGTGTGCTGAGTACACAGAACTCAAGGAATTCCAACTAAGCGAAGGAAAAACATGCCCTCCTGAAAGCACACGCCTCAAGTTTTAAAACAACCTGGGAGACTGTACTCTGCGTAATGGCAAAATGACAGAGCCCCCTCAAGTCCTGGGTTCTCTGCTCAAATCTCTCACATTTAGCACCGCTGGCATGGCGAGCGTGTGTGTGTGTGTGTGTGTGTGTGTGTGTGTGTGTGTGTGTGTGTGTGTGTCTGAACTTGAATTTGTAGCTAGAAATATAACTTCCTGGGCCGTGGTTACAAAGTTGCACCTCTCTCGCCCGAGGGTATCCTAACCTCAGCGTGGGAGAGGAGCCGTCTGGGCTTCAGGGACCTCAGACCCTGGCTAAGAGAGATGGGAGTGGCCAACGGAAAGGCTCCGCTGGTCAGGTTTCTGCAATCCCAGTCTTTGTTAATGTCACTAAGGGTTTGAAGGGGAGAAAGGCAGGCACTGAAATAGAAAGTGTCAGGACTGGGATGTCAAGGAGGGTAACTTCGTGAGCACCCATCCCGCGCCCTCCCGGCAGAGCCCGGCACCGCCTCCTGCGCTCTGCACAGAGCCCGGCTGGCGGCAGGAAGCGGGCGGCCGGCCGCGGGTCCTCGCGAGGCCGATTTCCTCCCGGGGGCGGCCCTGGGCGATCGCTGGACTCGCAGACCCGCCTCGGTAGAGCACGATCTCTCCCCCTAGCCCCGCTCCGCTCAACCCACCCACTTACTTCCTTCGACTGCACACACACACACACACACACACACACACACACACACACACACACACTCAGAGCTGCCAAAAATTTCCAACCTCCGCCCCCCTCCCGAGCTGACTTCCTTCCAGCGCTTCCTGAGCTGGACGATCCTGGGATTTGTAAGACAGGAAAAAAAAAAAGGGACGGCGCGAGGGCGGGCGACGGGACGGGATGCTGGCTGTTCGGGGTCCCCCAGCGGTCTGAAGGCTGAGCAAGAGTGCGGGCCTAAGGGCGGAGCACACTCACAGCCCCGGGGCGGTCCCCTCGCCGCCGCGCCCCGGCCCCTGCTCCTCGCAAGGCTCAGCGGAGAAGCGCGGGGAAAACGCCGCCGCGGGAGCCAGAGTAGGGAGGTGACACCCGCCCGGGGCGGTGCACGGCCGGATCTGCGCGCCCATGCCGACCCGCGGCGCCGCTCTGCCCCGGTGACCCGACCCCGAAACCCTCGTCAGCGGTGCGGAGCAGAGAGCGGAGACGGAGGGGCAGCCTCTGTGGGACTAACTCATGAAGAACAAGGGTGCCAAGCAGAAGCTGAAACGAAAGGGAGCCGCCAGTGCGTTTGGATGTGACCTGACGGAGTATCTGGAAAGCTCGGGACAGGATGGTAATGTACCCCTTCCTCCCCCCACCCCCCCACACTATTTTTTTGTTTGTTTGTTTAAGAGCGATGGGTTCTCTTGGGGTGTGTTGGATGCAGTTCACAAGTTAATGTGTTCCAGGCGCTCACTGTACTTTAAAAAAAAGGGGGGGGACGACACTGTGCTTAAGCACAGCCCTGCCACCCCGACGTTCAGGAGCTACGTCTGTCCTTCCGACGTGTCATAGGAGCGGTTGATGAGTGGTGGTGTAGCTGTGGTGGTGACCGGCTGTGGCCATTCCTGAGGTTGAACCCCCGGGAGGCTCTGATCTTAAACTCTGGGTGTTGGAAGGGAAAGACTGGGGAGGGGCGGCGGGTGGTGGTGACTGAAGCGTGGAGCCGTCATCAGTAGGTTTTTCTGGATGTGCTACTGTAACCAGCTTCGATGTCCCTCCTGTAGCGTCGGAGGTTTGCTCGCCCACATCCTTTTTTATTAATGTGGTAGGAGGCGGTGGGGTGGGGGTGGGGCGGGGAACCCTGGCAGGGGGAGTGGTTGCACAAACATTTTCTGTATTTCTGAGTCGATGCCAAATCTATAGAGTACCTCCCCCAACTCTGCCCCCCCCACCCCACCCCCCCAACCAGACCCTTTACCTCCTCTTTGGTTTTCAGTTTTCGCCTTTGGTGCGTCATGCGAGAAGTTTGTTGTAAAAAGGTCAGAGGGCTTTAAAACAGTTTAAGCTGTAAAGAAAAAAAAAATCAAAGTTAGCTTGGAAAAAGAAAAAGAGGAGCCAGCAGAGACAATTTAAACATTTGTTGGGTGAGGCGGAAGGAAAACCATCTCTGCTCCGTCCAATAAGACCATCGGAGGGTGAAAGTTTGTAATAGAGGAAAGTTGGGACAATTGAGCATTAAATGACTGCTTTTATAAAGTCGACTTATAAAGTCTGCACTTAACCATGACATTTAAAAAAAAAAGCTTCTCTGGAAGCTTCAGAGAAAGAGAAAAGGGCCCACTATGTGGGCTGTGTGTTTATACAGAGATAGGAACAATAAAAGTCAACATAGGGCCGTGTATCTGGGCAGAGGGATTCTGCGTCCAGGAAAACTCTTCCCCCAAACAACTGGCTTGTCCCTATCAAGCGTGCATCCCCGAAACAGTGCAGAGCTTTTGTTTTGCTTCCGCTTTTTGAAGACTCAGCACCCCTAGTAATTTGCAGTGGTGTGATATTCCTGTGGTATTCGGGAGTCCAGAGGCTGCTGTGCTATTAGGACAAATGGCTTAGTATTTTAGAGCTCGGAGGAACCACTGGTTTCCAAACCGCCTCCGAAACTGAGGCGTCACTGAAGTCAATTCACTGAATTCTCAACAACTCTCCGGAGAGGTTTTGAAACAAAAATCATTCTGACTGAGCTTTCTTGAACTTGACGGAAGCCCAAGTACACATCTTAGCCACGGTGGCTTGAAATTAAGAATGAAATGTTTGTCTCCCCTTGTTTTTGCAGGGGTCCTCATGTTAACCTGTAGGTATACTGGGCATGCTCCTGGGATGCCACCTCCTGCATGTGGGTGTTGTACACACACACACACACACACACACACACACACACACACACACACACACACAGTGAGAGCTGTATAAGGGTCCTGCTAGCCACGCCCCACTCGTATATAGTCACAGGTTAAGGAAGAACCTGAAAACCCTCAGGCTCTGGGAGAGAACTTCAGAGGCACCCTTAGGCAGCTCCTCTTTCCAGCTTGTTTTTGTGTTTTGGACTTCTGTGTGTGCTTCATATGGGAAAGGAGGAAGGGAACTGATGTTCAGTAGAAAACACGGAGTGCTGGTACTCCCGTGCTGTCCATTCCGCGAAGGAGAGGGGAAGCCCCAAGAGGAGTAGACACACAGGGCTCATCCATCACCAAGGGTGGAGAGGCTCCAGACCTCTTTCTGGCTCCTGTGTGCAAGTCAACGTTCTCTTTTAATGATCCCCGCCCCCGGATAGAAAGCAAACAGCCCCGCCGCAGATGAGCAACCTTTTCAGACTGGACATACCTGAACAGAGTTTGGTTTTGAAATGAAAGGCGGCTGGCACGCTTGGTCCCCACACGGTGGATGTACGACGTGGGAATGAGCCATGAATAATAAGCAGTTTATAGAAATGAGACTAAATAGAGTTTCTGCCCCAACACAGCCAAATTCATTGTTTTCCTTGTGTGTGTGTGTGTCTGTGTGTTATGATAGAATATATAATTTTTTTTTCTAAAGTGATATAGAGACATATATTAGTTAACAGACAAGGCCCAGATTCTGACCCAGGTGAAAAAAAGGCTGAGCAAGGCACCATCCCTTTGCTCACGACCTTGGAAGAGCCTCTCAGGGTGTTGGAGGTGGTAAATCAGAGTGGTCGCCAGGAACCAGGAAGCTAGGAAAGACCTTTCGAGAGAGTCGTGTCATGGTCACTGAACTTTGGGGTCAAAGGGCAGGGCACTGGACCTAGGTAGAAATGGAAGGGCGATGGGTTTCACTTGTGAGCGCAAGGAGACAGAGGAAGAACGGAGACAGGGAGACATCCAGCAAAGCCACAGGCTGGGGTGGAGGACAAAGCTGGGCAGGAGCGCTGGCTGAGCCTGGGCCCTCTGCATATGGGGAAGCTGCAGCTCTGAGTGGAGAGAGCTCCAGGGGAAAAGGGAGCGAGGCTGAGCACAAAGGATGGCTGCTAGCTACTTCCCTGATTCACCAAGCCGAGCCTTGCCACCTCCGACTGGTCAAATCAGAGAGGGCAGGGTGCAAAAGTGACATTTTCTTTTTCAGCCTGAAATGAGTATTACTCATGGCCGGCTATCGTGCTTAATCTGTGGGAAGCTGATGAAAGCTGAGCTACCTCTTCTTAGACACACACACATACACACATTGAATGTGCAGTTCCTGCAGGTAGCCACAGAGCTACACAGAGATGACAGGTTCACACTCTGCTGTGACCATCCCTCGAAGCCCCGAAGCCTGGTGTGACAACTCCTCACTTTTCCCCCTTCAATCCCTAGTGTCATGGATCAAGGGGTGGGGGACTCCCCACCGGTAGCCAAGTGTTCTAACCCTGAGCTACACCCCCAGCCTCTGGCCACTTGACTGTCACCTGATAAGAGACCCACAGCAGACCATAAGGTGGCTGCCGGGGAACCTTTGTCACTTACCAGCAGAGTGACTGCTGCCCCCTGTCTGAAGCGCTTCCCCTGGGAACCGGCTAATTCTCTCTTCCTATCTGGGATCACTTCCCTACTGCTGATGGAAGGAGTCTGCTTCTCTCTTCCTTCTTTTCCGTCACTACATGTGAAGGTCTTTTCTTACAGCTATGTGATTAAAAACAACACCAGATTGTTGTTACCGATGGCATTAGGGTGTGAGTGAAACCCAGAGACCTGGAATGTGTTCAGGGTCATTTCCTAACTCTCCCTTGTGGGCCAAGTATTCTGCGTCTTCTAGCAGAGCTTGGGGATGGTGGGACCAGGAGCCCAGGGAACAAGTAAAAGGTGCTAGGACAGAAACTGTTTCCTCCTCTGGGCTGTCCACACTTTTTTTGTTGTTGTTGTTTGTTTGTTTTGTTTTGTTTTTCAAGACAGAGTTTCTCTGTGTAGTTTTGGTGCCTGTCCTGGAGCTCGCTCTGTAGCCCAGGCTGGCCTCAAACTCACAGAGATTCCCCCTGGCTCTGCCTCCTGAGTGCTGGGATTAAAGGTGTGCACCACCACCGCCTGGCCTGGGCTGGGCTGACTTCCTTGTCTTTCTAATCCATCATTGCTCGTTTTACCTACTCCTTGGTGAAAAGCGAGTCTGATCTCAACTAGTGCCTTAATGTCACTCCATGATGGTGACAGATATTAACCACCTGGGAAGTCTTTTAAAAGGTTGATGCCACTGCATATGATAGCACACACCTATAGTCCCAGGGCTTGGGAGGTTGAGGCAGGAGGATTAAGAGTTTGAGACTAGCCTGGGCTACATGGCCAGATCCTCTCTTCATCTCTCAAAGAAAAAAGAAAAAATGGGGATGCAAGGGCCCATCTCAGACCAACTAAATCAGACTCTCTCCTAGATGGTTTTGGTATGTGGACAGGGTGAAGAGCCTGTATGCAGTGCATCGTTTGTAGGCCATGTTCCCTGCATAAGTAGGGTCACCTCTGAATGTTCCATGAAAAGTGTGAACCTTTTAATTGCTGAGGAATTTTTTTCTCATCCTTATCAGGCTGAAAACATGTATATTAATATAAAACAAAGAATGTATAGGTATAACGTAGATTTAGTTTGAGAGGTGAGAGAAGGTTCATAACAAATTACTGACAGATGCAAATCTAATGCTTGCTGGGAGCTTGCTGGTGTTCCGAAGGATGAGGGTGTGCAGTGGGAACATCAGTCAAAAGTCGCTTCTTTTCATTTCATGTCTGAAGCTAAATAGTTCCCTCGCTTGGTTTATTCGTTTCCTTTATTTATTAATCCAGTAAACAAAACTCTAGTCCAGCCGTGTTTTGGATGCAGTGGGAAAGAAAGATGGGCCCTGGATATCAGAAATGCGTAGTCTCAGGGATGCGAACCAATCAACCTTCAGACACCAGTTGACTCTGAAGAGGCAGTTGTAGGAGAAAATGTGAAAAGTTTGGTCTCCCGTTAAATAGCAAGATACTGTACAGACATAAACAGAGCATGGCCATAACAAAGAAGGCTAATGCTTTTCTGTTTACGATTTAGTGCTGAATGGGGGACGGGGCAGTATCCTCTGCAGCTTAATCTTGGTCTGGCACATCATTTGCACACCTTTCCCCAGCAAATTCCTCACCAAGTGGGTCTCGGCTATGGAAAGTTCTAGAAGCATTCCCTAACCCAAGTCAGGGGACTTGGTTGGGGGCTTCCACTAAGACTGCTGGAACTCTCCTGCCTAGAATCTCAACTTTGCTTGTTCCCAAATGACTAGCCCTCGAGAGGCTTGCTTCCTGCCTCTGGGCCTCAGTTTCCCCTCTTGTGAAACAGAGATAATAG